TTGCTTCACAAAGACAAGAACTGTGTGTCAGAGCTTAGTGTAGAACTAGATTTAAAGGTGCATTTATGTACATACAATACATGTACATGTATATTTGTACATGTACATGTACATTTATAAAAGAATAATAATAAAAATAAAGACATTGGCCAAGATTACATGTATACATGTACATTTATACATGTAATAATAGTAAAAAATCAATTAATATGTTTTATTTGTAGTACATGTAATTTCTTTTTCTCCTTCTTTATAGTTGGCTCAGTTTGTAGCAGCACTGGGTAATGTCTCCAGCTGTGTGACACACTGTACTAACTTAACGAGGTACAGCATAATAATAATAATAATAATAATAATAATAATAATAATAATAATAATAATAATAATAATAATAATAATAATAATAATAATTCTCTACATTGTTGTAATTTTTGCAGTCTTAGAAAAGTTTTAAATGAAGCAAAATCATTACTTGCAAAGGTACAGTGTACATGCATGTACATATACATGTATGTGCATGTACATGTACCTGTTTTTCATTACAATAACATCCTTCCTTTCTTCATGTAGTCCATTTCTTCATTCAAAGATGAAGTGTCCTCCCAGTATGAGCTCACTGTGGCATCATTTGAAGAAGCCTTGAGTTCAAACAATGACTACATCCAATCATTGAAGTTAGTATGTACATGTAGTCATGTACATGTACATGTAGTCATGTACATGTACATGTATAATTGTTAATAATGCAAGTACATGTACATGTAAAATGGACCTGGTACATGTACATGTACATGTATATGCATGTACATGAATTTATCTTGTCATGAGCACTTTAAGTTACTTCAAATTTTTGCATAAAAACCATATGTACATGTACCTGTACATATACTGTATTGATGTTTGTTATGCTGTTTTAGGTTGTTTTCTGAAGGTGGTAATTACAGTATTGAGGAGATTGAGAAAATTAGACCGAAATTGGTACGAAAATGAATTAATGCACTAGTGTAGTATAGAGTAATTATTACTTCTCTTTCTCTTTCCCCTCTCTCTCCCTCCCCTCTCTCTCCCCCTCTCTCTCTCTCTAGGATAAACAAGGTGACAGGATTAAGAAGTACAAAATACAAGTGACTGAAGACATCAAATCATTATCAGCCACTATACCAGATAGATTTGAACACGTTTTTAACAAGCACTTTATACACACGTAAGTATAATTATTTGTACATGTACTTACATCTTTATAATCGTCATCATCATCATCATTATTATTATTATTATTATTTTATTCTGTATTTATACATGTAGCTATGAATATCATTTGGCTGACATATCTATGATTGATAGTATTGAAAACCTCATTAGAAATTGTCAGATACTTATAAAAACTGAAGTAAGAATGATG